TCTATTACTTAGATTTTTACATGGGTCTTTCTAGAATATAATTCTAGAAAATGCTAGACTTTGTTGGGCCTTTGAATTGGGCCTATGAGCAAAATTCTTAAACTCATATTACTTACTCCAAAATCAAGTTTACTTTCCAACAGTAGGAACGAAAGTCTCACATCAGCAGCACAAGCCGCTGATCTTGAATTAATAAGGGAAATGAGCTACTGCTAATAAGTTTTTCTCTTGAGACGGAATTCAAAGTTCCGACACTATATACCATCCTTATGCGTAGAGATAAATTGAAGAAAATTAAAAAAAGAAACATACTAATTAAAGAATAAAGTACACATTGGTGGAGCTTTAAATAATCATGTTATTAAGATTTGGACTCTGGTGTGGCTCAGTCGAACGAATGGCAGACCTTAGACCTTGGTTTTGAGCCACTTCTTGGCTGCTGAAATTAACGTGCATATATCCCTATATCAAATAGCATGTAATAAATGCAAATCGTATCCAAGATTCATTTCTAGTGATATTAATCACTATTTACCTGCATCGATAACACATCTCTATGATTGGGGTTTTGTAGGTTTACTCCACAAATTCCACCTCTCCAAAACTATATTTTTATTGCGCTTCAACTAGATAATCATAGTGAATGATAAACGACATGTAGGACCCAAACATGTAGGACCCACAGTCTGGCTTTGCCATGTCTACTTAAACGACAGCTTTTCATAAAGCCAATCTGAAAACAAATCCTTCGTTCCAAAATTTTCATTGCTTTTCTTTGCTTGTTCAATTACGTTTCGTCTTAAATATCTTGCTACTTCTGTTCACTGTTTTATGAAATTTCCCATCAGGGTTTCATGACTAATTTGTCTTTGTTGTTGCTCTCTTGGCTTATGCAATTGTTTCCATCGATCCCTATAACTTTGACAAAGATTTATACAGCATTTTACATATTGCACTTCCTCCAAGTTTCTTCCAGTTTATATTCCTTTTTTCTATTTAATTTGTAAATCAGATCATTGCAATTGTTGATCTTAAACGAAGAATTTCGGGCAAGCCTGAGTTATCAAAATTTCAGCATTCATGGACGCTGAAGATAACATTAATCTTCGTGTTGCCTCGTTTTCTTATTACCTGGACACTGCTAAAGACAGCTTGGTACAAAGAATTTCAGCTCAAGAGAATCCGATTTCCATAAGCTCAGGAAGATCTGCTACAGCCACTGCAAAGCCACGGTTTAATACAAGTATATCTCTCTCCCTCTATATACAACGTACACAAACAAACGGTACAATAAACAATATTTTAGTTTATTTTTTCTTCATCCAGTACTACATGTGTAGTCAACCCCATCAATTGGAGTCGTCACATTTATTAATTTTCCTTTTATATCATACCTGCAGGAGAAAACTTTGTGTTTAAGATGCCAGGGCCTGTTCAGGATCCTACAACTGCATTTAGTTTCCCTCAGGAGCCTCCATATCCAATGAATTTTGAAAGAACCAAGTCTACAGATGGTGAAATCACAGTCTTTGGTGCAGACAAGTATTTCAACATCAAATCTGATTACGAAACTGAGGTGAAAATCAATAGTGAGAGTAAGAATGAAAGGCCAGTGAATTTGCCCCGAGTACGATCAGATTCCAGGTCAGAAACTCAGAGTCTTTACTCTGAAACAAGCAGTTGGAACAGCCAAACTGCGCTGTTGCAGAATGTGACAAGGAGACTTGAATCTAAAACGAAGCGAAAAAAGGCAATTGGAAGAAGATTTTTTCCAGTTTTCGGTTGCCAGGGACCTTGTATTGACAAGAAAGCTGTTCCTATCACTGAAAATTTGACAGGATCAAAAAGAGTTGATCATTTTCCAGTCCCAATTCCCAATCTAGAGGTACAAAAATTGTCTCTCAAGAATCAGATCGAGGAACAAATAAAAGTGGATGCACCCCGAGAATCTCTGGAAGTTTTCGGTTCAGGAACTGGCACAAAGGGAGACATAGCAAAAAACCTGGAGAGAAAACTGTTTATGTTAACCTGGGATGCAATCCCAAAAGGCCAAAACCTTCCAACTTCTACACTTGGAAGCAGCACAATTTGTGATGATTTGGCCAGTGATGCCAGTTCTGATCTCTTCGAAATCGAGAACATTTCTGGCACTGTGTATCCGTTGTTAACAGCGGCTCAAGGAACTGATGATATGTCGATCTGCATGAGTCCCCCTATGCAGTATGCCCCGAGTGAGGCCAGTATCGAGTGGAGTGTTGTCACTGCCAGTGCTGCAGATTACTCTTCAGTTATTTCAGATTATGATGAAAAGAGTGTTAGTGTAGCAGGTGATATTATCTCAAGAAATGCAACGAAAAGAACATCCATAACCAAGAATATAGGGGGCAAAGAGACACGAAAAAGCAAACCTGGGGGACTTTTAGGATGCAAGCATCATAAAGCAGTGGATGTTGCTGAAACTACGTACAAGACTAATGAAAAAGCAAAGCATCTAGGGTTGGATTTGTCTCCAGCTACAGGGAAATCACAAGCCAAGAATAGGGAGAAAGATTTTTGACCCTATACATAGTACTCGATTCTTACTATTGATCTATCCCTTATATAAATATGTGTGTGTACATTGATATTACACGGTTGGTTAATATTATTACATGAAGTTGTTTGTTCTGTATAATTGACATATGCATACAATATTTATGTAGCACAACACAACTCGCATAGACACGAGCCTGAGTCTGAAGATAAACGTGCCAGGGAGACTCATCTTGGTCGCTTTATACATTTTGACACCCTAAAGTCACAACATATTTGTCATCATGTTGAACTGTTTAATTAAGGCTCTGTTTGTCATCCTTTAAAAAATTAAATTGTTTGCTACAGTATCATTTCTCTACCATACATTCACACAATAAAATATTCTACACAAAAACCAATAAAGTTTCCCAGGGGCGGACGCAGAACTTTAACGTTGGGGGGCACAATCGAATTTGCAAAAAAGTTGGTAGAAATTTTACAAT